CCCCTCGGCTGCTCGGTTATTCCGGGAGTGAGTGGTGGAGACGGAGAGCGAGTCACTGTCGGACCATCGATATGTGACGTGGTCTCTCCGACTCCGCACCTCTCGCGTGAGGCTGGACCGCCGCCTTGGGGAGAGGGACTTTCCCCTCCCCAAGAGATGAGCCCTAGCTCGGCTTGACGCGGATAGGTTTCAGGCGGTCGTCCTCGTGGCCACCTGGCATCTCGATCGGGAGCCAGGTGAGTGGAACCCTCCGCCCCCTCTTGAGGGGGCCGGGGAGGTGGTGGGCATCGTGGCGTCGGCTTGCGATGCCGCGGTCCCACCTCCGCCGGCGCCGGGCTGCGTACTGGTGGACGCCGGAGATCGCGGATATCCGCGACTCCTGCATCCAAGCCAGGAGAGAACATACTCGAGCCCGGCGCGATGGCGGGGATGCCGGGAGGGCGAAAAAGGGCTACCTCCGCGCGAGGCAGGCCCTCAAAGCCGCCATCGCCGATGCAAAGGAGGAAGCCTGGGAGTGCATAATGAGCTCCTTGGACGAGAACCCGTGAGGGCACCCCCGTACAAACGGGCTGTCGGTAAGATACGCCCGTGGGCGCCCCCGCCGACGGAGTCCATGGACCCCCAGGACCTCAGGGGGCTCCTCGACACCCTCTTTCCGAGGGCGGAGTGGGGCCCCCACCGGATCCCCATTCCTGAACTTCAGGAGGGGGACTGGGACGAGGACCTGGGGTTCTCGGAAGAGGAGTTCACCAGGGCCAGGAAGAAGCTCGCGGCCAGGGGTAAAGCCCCAGGCCCCGACGGGATTCCTGGCCGCGCCTGGGCTCTCGCCCTCGGCGATGGAAGCCTATCTGCTGCCACGTGGGAGGTGATGGAGGGGTGCCTCAGAGAGGGAGTCTGCCCTCAGGAGTGGAAGAGGGCCAAGTTGGTCCTCCTCCCGAAGGAGAGAAAGACGCTCGGCGGGCCGCCGACCTACAGGCCGATATGCCTGCTGGACGAGGTGGATAGGATGCTTGAACGCATCATCGTGGACCGCCTCGTCCAGCATCTGTCCCTGGAGGAGCCGGACCTTCACGGCAATCAGTATGGGTTCAGGCCCGGACGATCCACACCGGACGCGATCCAGCACGTCCGGGACTTGACCCGTACTGCCATGGAGGAAGGGGGCGGGGTGTTACTCGCGGTGTCTTTGGACATAACAAATGCGTTTAACACCTTGCCCTGGCCGGAGATTGGGCGGGCCCTCGTGTACCACGGGGTGCCCGTCTATCTCCGGCGCATCCTAGCGGCCTACTTCAGGGGCAGGGACCTCGCCTACTCCGGGAGAGGCGGGGTCCAAAGCCAGCGGCAAATGGAGCGCGGTGTTCCGCAGGGGTCCGTGTTGGGCTCCCTGCTATGGAACATCACGTTCGACCGGTTGTTGCGCTCTCCGCTCCCCCCCGGCTGCCACGTAGTCTGCTACGCAGACGACACGCTGGTGCTAGCCGAGGGGGAGAACTGGGGCGAGGCCAAACTCCGAGTGGAGGCAGCTCTGAACTCGGTGGTAGGCACCATCAATGACATCGGGCTCAAAGTGACCCCCCAAAAGACTCAGGCTATGTTGTTTGATGGCCGGGGTCGGGGGGCCGCGAAAGGCCCGAGTCCTGGTGGATGGAGTCCGCGTCCGTGTCGGACCCACGATGAAATATCTGGGCCTGACACTGGACGGCCAATGGGGATTCGGGCCCCACTTCAGAAACCTGGCCCCTTGGGTCCGCAAAGTAGGCACGGCCTTGGTCGGCCTGATGCGGACCCAGGGGGCCCCGGATGGTGGGCACGCCGCCTGTACACGGGTGTCGTGCTCTCGGTCGCCCTATACGGGGCGCCTATTTGGGCGCCCCGACTCAAAGCAACCACCCGCAACAAGAACCTGATGCGTCAGGCAACGTGGGCGGTGCTAGTGAGGGCGATCCGGGGGTACGCCACCGTCTCGTACATGGCGGCGGCCGCCCTGGCCGGCTTCCCTCCGGTGGAGCTCCTCGCCGAGGAGAGGTATCTCCTATACTGGCGAATCAACGAGCTCCGCGAAACGGGGGGGGGGATTAGCAGCCAGGGACCTGTAGGCCCTGAAGACCCAGGCTCGTGCCCGGGTACTCGATAAGTGGTCGGCCGCACTGGCCGATCCGCGAGGATTCGGGCGTCAGACAGCCGAGGCTGTCCGCCCCTGCCTACCAGAGATGGTGGGCAGGCGGAGACGTAGACTCTCCTTCCACTTGGTGCAGGTACTGACGGGGCACGGTTGCTTTGGAAAGTGCACCTAATAAGGAAGGAACCCACCACTGGGTGTCACCACTGCCCGGAGCCGGTGGACTCGGCGCTGCACATCCTCGTGGAATGCGAGGCGTGGTCCCAACAGCACCGGGTCCTAGCCTGGGCGGTGGGTTGCCGGATGGAGGAACTCTCGCTCCCGCGCATGGTCCAGATCATGTGCGGGAACGAGGAGACATGAGGGGCGGCGACCTCCTTCTGCAGGGACGTCATGTCCCAGAAGGAGGCCGCCGAGTGGGAGCGTCGTCCTAATCCATGTCGCAGAGTGTGGCGGGGGAGGAGACGCTCCCCGGGAGCAGGTAGCGGGCCCGAGGTGGCGCCGGCCGAGGAGGAGCAACGACCACCGGTCAACCGGAGGTCGCCTCCTCAGCCGCCTCGGGCCCGACTTCGGTCGCGCGGGGGAGGGGCGTCAGCAGGAGGGGTGTAACACCTCCTCCCGCCCTCCCCTGTGCGTCGGTAGATGTAGGGATGGGGGGAGCGGGGCCCTCTGGGAAAGGGCTTCGCTCCTCCGCCTCCTCCGGAGTGGGAAACTACTCTAGGGAGGAGGCGGGGTGGGAGGGTAGACGTCCCCTCTTTCCCGAAAGGTACCGGAAGGCCAACCCGATCAGCGAGCCGATCGGAGTACTGCGCCTTGACCTTCTCTTCGCGGAGAAGAGGGCGCGGTACTTGAGCGTGGGGTTCCCTTGGAGCCCTGGGGCCGGGGTGTCGGGGAGGGAATGCTGGCGTAGTTTTCCTGACTCCCCCATCTCGGTCCGACTGGTAGACATCCCGCAGGGATTTTAGTGAGTAAGAGTCTCACATAACCCCCTGCCCCTCCCAGGGGGCGGGGGGGGGTACTCATGATGGGTTTTCCCTGCGTCATAAAAATAAAAATTTGTTTCCTGAACCCCTCTGTCGTAAGCCACGTGGAGGCCGGGGGAGGTTTTAGTGGGTGCAAGTCCCACACTACCCTGCAGTTCTGCGTGGCTGCAGGGTGTGCGTAGGCATTTCCTCCTCTATAACAAAAATAATCTCCTAAACAGCTAGAGATACAGACCTGATTTTTTCACCAAAATATAGTCCTGTAAACACCCTACATTCACCATAAATTTCGACTCTCAATACCCAATAGAACCTCTCCCCGTGGGTGCCACCTTGTCGTGGTGGGGGGCTTAAAGGTCCCAATGATATCCCAGAGCTGTGCCGGCGGGAGATTGGGCCCCTGGCAGGTTTTACCATGCCGGAGTGGTCTGTACGGAGGGACTGGACCAAGAGCACCCGACCGGGCTGATCGATCAGCCTGGTCTATGACCAGGCTGTTCATGAAGCGAGTGGGAGGAGACTATCACCCTTGGAGGCATTGCACGCCGGTGCTCCGGCAGTCGAAGAAAGAGGGCCACTCCTCACCTATCCCGATCTGTCCGTTATGTACGGATTGGAGGTGGAGGGACGTACCCGCACCCAGGACTCCACCCGTGGGGATCCTCCCCCTATGGTGCCTGTGATGCGGAGGGGTACTCCGGGCCGCTCGGACGTTTCCGAGGCGGGGTCGGGGTGCCCTACAACGTCCTGAGAGGTCCCACCCTTGGAAGCATTGCATGCCGGTGCTCCGGCAGCCGAAAAGGGGAAAACCTCTCTCCCTCATCCCTCACAACCACGGCTGGGCGGTTGGAGGACCCCACACCCGGGTCTGCACACCATGGGGTATAACCCCATGATACCCGGGGGGTGGAGGGGTGACTCGGGCCGCTCGGACTTATTCCGAGGTCGGGGTCGAGTCATCCTAGGGTGAAGAGGGGAAAGGACCCCACCTTTGGAGGCATTGCACGCCGGTGCTCCGGCAGCCAAAGAAGGTGGACCTCCCTGGTTTCCCTCACCCGCCTGGCCGAGGCCAGGCGGAAAGAGGAACCCACACCCGGGCTTGCCCCCATGGTACCCGGGGAGTGGAAGGTGTCTCGGGCCGCTCGGACGTATTCCGAGGTCTGGGTCGAGACACCCTCGAGCGCCATCATAGAGGACCCTACTCCTGGAGGCATTGCACGCCGGTGCTCCGGCAGCTGGAGGACCTCTCCCTCATCCGTCCCGGTCACGGCCGGGCGGAGGGAGGAACCCACACCCGGGTCTGCACATCATGAGGGTTTGGAACCTCTCATGGTACTCGGGGGGTGGAGGGGTGTTCCGGGCCGCTCGGATGTATTACGAGGCGGGGCTGAAACCTCTGTGTGCTGTGCCCGAGGGAATGCGATCGCATCGCCCTAAAGCGGACCCTCGGGCGGCGCAGGCACGCTGGCTACCATGGGGGAGGCGCTCCCGGTGGGGTGCGACACCGGTGAGCTACCTCCTTCCATGGGGCCCCTCGCGTGGCGGCGTTCAGTGCAGTGCCCATGTTGTCGGAGGCATGGGACCCCCGAAAGCAGTCTGGCCATCAGAAATGACGGTCAGGGCGCGTGTAGGGGGCGGGAGGCCAGTGCTGATGATGCATATTCCATCGGCCAGAGCCATATGCTACTCCTCTGGGGGAACTCGGAGGCTCCTCCCTTTCCTGGGGGATACGTGCATGCCCGGGTAGCGGAGCCGCACTGGGTTATGGGTTTTAAACCGAAAATGAGTGAATATTCCCTTAACTTAATCGACCTCACGGATACGGGCCGCGGCAAACAGACCTGGTAAGGCAAATGGATGCACGATAAACGGGGACCCACGATGGTCCTGCTGGGATGGAGGTGGGAGACACGGACGTGGAAATGGCCGTGGATGACCAGCCAGGTCCGAGGCGCCTAGGAAGACGAGAGGGACTTCGCAGCGCCAGCAGATGCGACAAGGAAGTTGCGGAGACTCCAAAATATAAACTGAGGTCGGGTACGCCCAGTAATAAGAGGAGGAATGAGTCTTCCTCTGAAGATGATTATGGTTCCTCTGAGCAGAATGACAGATGGGAAATTCCAAGAAAATCTGACGGGGATGTAGATGAGGAGGCCTTTACAAGAAAGCTGAGACCACGAGGAAGACCCGAAACGACGGGGCAACATAAAAAAAGAAAGCCTTTCAAGCTCAAAGGAAGATCTTTGAGGAGAAGAAGAGGGAGGAGGCTTTACTGAAGGGCCTGGAAGATCCGAGGAAGGAATTCCAGGATTGCTCCAGTAACCGTAAACACCGAGCAGAATTGCAACGTGTTACGGAGCACATGGAGGAGGTCCTTTTCAGGGATATTACTGCCTCGGAGTTGGAGGCAGCAACAAAGGTACTGGGCTTTTCGCTTCGCTCGAAGAACCTGAATGGCATCCACGTCAAGGTGCTTCGGGACGCCTCGACAGCCATTGCAGCAGGTGCCACTTTGATGGCACAGCGCATGGCCTCAAGTGAATGTGGGGAGAACCACGACATCCTGGAAGAGCTGAGAGCAGAGAACATGCAGCTCCGCACCATGCAGGGTGAAATGACAAAAAGGATGGAGGAAATGGAGAAGGCACTCAGGAGTATAAAGGAGGCATCTCCTTCAAAGGAGATATCCCCCTCGCCTCCGGTGCAAGAAAAGAATGTGCGGAGTTCAAGGGTGGCACCGCCATCAATGGTAGTACCCTCCTCGCCTCCATCACAGGGCAACAAGCAACGCGGTATAAAGGGGGCATCGTCGTCAACGGCGATAGCTCCCTCGCCCGCAGTGCCAGTCAGGGAAAAGGAAAGGACAATGGGGTACAGGAACAGGTGCATCATGCCCCCGTCGGCGGACCTAGAGGAGGAGGAAATGAGTCCGGTGGGATGGATAGACGAACTGCAGAAAGGACAAATCAAACAAGGTAAAACCCATCCTGTACAGTATAGGAAAGAAGTGTCCAGGAAAGGTAACAAACCTGGCCCGACGGTAAGGGAAATTGTCTCGTTAGACGTCAAGGTCAGGCTTGATAAAATAGCCATGCGAGGGCAAACTAAGGAAGAAACTATGGAGGATAAAATAACCTCCATGGTTCATAAGGCAATGGAGACATGGGCATCGCAGAAGGATAAAGCGCACCCGATATCCAACAATGATGCTCAAGAGGAAAACAGTCAGAGAAAGACAAGGAAGGGAAAGAAGAGGACAGCAAGTTCTGGACAGGGGAAACGGGGACCAACGGGGAGGAAGGAACAGTGGCCCCAGCTCCGAGTCCCTCCTTCTTTGATTGAGGAACCCCGACCCCCTCCCCAGGAAAAAAAAATAGAAACGGGAGGTCAGGAAACTTGGGCTCAGGTTGCGAGACGCAACAAAAAGCCCAAGGAGAAAAGAAAGAGGAGGATAGAAAAAAGGGAATTGAATCCGGGAAGGAAATGGGAACGACTGGGACGGACAACAAGAAACCCAGGAAGCCCAGACGCAAGGTCCCAAGTACGGCGGCAGTGTCAATCACCACCGAAGATGGCAAATATAAGGAGGTCTTGGCTGAAGTCAAAAAGAAAATAAATATTGACAACATGGGGATCACGAAGATTAAGACGAGGCAGGGTGCCATGGGGGCCCTGATATTAGAAATCCCCGGAGAAGATAAGGACACCAAAGCTGATCTCCTTGCCGCGAAATTGAGGAAAGTTTTGGAAGGTAAGGCGAGGGTGAATCGCCCCCGGAAGCTCGGGGAGATTAGACTCCGAGGTTTCGAAGTCTCCACCACTGAGGAAGAGGTAGCGGATTGCATCGCCAAGGAAGGAGGATGCTCAACTGCGGAGGCTGAGCTCCAAACGGGAAGGATTAGGACCACTGCGGCTGGATTTAGATCCTTGTGGGCAAGATGCCCCCTTATGGTGGCGAAAAAAGTCGCTGAGGAGGAGCAGATACCTGTAGGATGGACCAGGGTTAGGGTAGAATAGCTGGACGCAAGGCCCCTCCAATGTTACAAATGCTTAGAGAGGGGCCATGCCCAGCAGAATTGCAAGAGCAATCTTGACAGGCGAGGGAATTGTTATAGATGTGGTGAGCTGGGCCATCTGGCCGGGGAATGCACTTCCCCTGCCAAATGTCAGATATGCGCGGAAGCGGGGCAGCCCTCTGGGCACAGAATGTGTGGTCCAGCCTGTCACCCGCCAAAGAAGAAAGGAAAAAAAGGGGAACAGCGGGCACTTGGGGCATCCGCATCGACGCCATCTGAACCTGCAGTCCCACCTTTGGTAGAAAAAGAAGTGGAAGGGGAAAGGGAATCCCCTTCTCCTCCTCCTCCATCTGCAGAACCTCCCACTTCTGTCAATGCTCAACCGGAGGGGGAGGAGATGGAGGTGGAGAGAAGAGCGGAGAAACGGGTACGCCTTGTTATGGACAGTGGGAGCGAAAGTGCGGAGGAGCCGGCTGAAAAGCTTGTTATTCAGTCATAATAATGCCTACTAGACTCCTTCAATCAAACTTACACCGCGCTCGGCAGGCGATTTCTCTTTTCGATCTTACCATGGCCGAGCGCGGTACGGGTTTAGGAGTGGCGGCGGATTAATGTCTTATAATGTCCCCAAAAACCATCCTAGATGGGTTGGGGACCAATTGGGGGCTCCGTCGCCATAGTATGGAAGGCAAATGAGAAGTCGCCTCCCGCTGACATATTGGAAAGTGGGAGACACTTTGTCGTGATCAGGTGGGGGACCCTGATTGTGGTCGGGGTCTACCTCCCCCCAGCAAAGAGCCTGGGCCTACCTAGTTATGGGTTGGCTTGATGATAAAGGGAGGGTCGTATTACGGTACCTCCCTGGGCCTGTCATCATCGCCGGGGACTTTAATGCGAAGTCGCCATTGTGGGGTTCTCAGCGGGATGACAGGCGGGGGGAGGTAGTGGAAGAATGGGCCGCGGGCCTGGACTTGCATCTGATAAACGAGGGAAACAAATCTACGTTTGTGGGGTCGCAGGGGGAATCTATAATAGACCTCACTTGGGATACCTCTGCGGCCTTGAAACGGGTCCTGGAGGGTGGCAGACGACCTGGAATCCCTATCGGATCACCTTTCGATCGAAATGGAGTTGTCCGTCACCCCCAATGGCCTGCGGCCACAAAGCAAGAATGAACCCCGACCAGGAAGATGGGCCCTGAGCAGATTAGATAGGGAAACTCTAGAACTGTCCCTAGAGGCTGCCACCTGGCCATGGTAAGAGGAAGGGCAGGACCTTGACTCTGCGGTATCGGACTTTATGGACATCGTTGCATACGCGTGCAATGAGTCCATGCCCAGAGTAGGGTCCTGCCCAAAAAGGTCCGTCTGGTGGACCGACCATATAACCGAGTTAAGGCAGAGGACGGTCCACCTCAGGCGGACCTTCAGAAGACTCCGGAATGATCCGGACCAAAACTCCGAGGCCACCCTGGCCGCCCGTATGGAGTTTTGCAGAGTCGCAATTACACTGCGGGAAGCGATAGGGGCGGCCTTCAACACCCTGCCCTAGGGTAAGGTGGTGGAGGCTATGCGTACACACTTTGGCTTCCCACCTTACCTCTCGGCCGTCGTTAAGGACTATATATGAGGATACAGAGGGCGTCGCCATTGGTTAAAACACCTCTCCCCCTATGCAAGGTCCACCATTAAGGTGGGCATGCAGGAAGGGGTCATAGAGACCTCTCCCATTCCTCCTCTGGAGATGGGAGCGCCCGGCGGCTAGGGGATTATTTCCCCCCGTAACCGCCGGGCGGGAGGATGGGGCACCGGGCGGGGACTCCCGGTGTCCCAAACAACCCTCCCCACGTATTATGGACGCTCTTAGTCTGGCCCCTCTGTACAAACCTCTCCGGCATGGTAGAACTTGCCAGGGGTCGAAACCCCCGCCGGCACAGCTCTGTACTTCATCGGGACACGCAAGCTCCCCCACCACGACAAGGTGGCGTCCACGGGGGAGCCGTCTATCCGTCTATCCGTCTATCCGTCTATCCGTCAATCCGTCTATCCGTCTATCCGTCTATCTGTCTATCTGCCTATTTGCCTATCTGCCTATCTGTTCTATTAGTTCAGTTTTATTAGTTATTAATGTTTTCTGTTTCAGTTTTATGCTTACAGAATAAAAGAAACCATGCAGCAGGGGTCGTACCTAAGCCATGAACTCGGTAGTCCGTTACCTTCGCTGCTGCGCTACGCTGCTTTGTTGAATACCCTTCTCACTAACTTGTACACTTTGTTGGCTCTTTCTTTTACACCGTTTTTTCTCGAGAACGAAGAGGTATTGTATTGTATGCTATTACCATGAGTTATTGGTAGTCAACTAACTCCGTAAGTTTCGTTCCAAACCGTTTCACGGTCGTTGCGTCCTCCCCTTGTGAGTCGCGGGCGCGACTATGACGATACTGAGAAGTTTTTCCTATTCGGCGCGCCGAAATTAATATGAATATTATTTTATTATTAATAATATTATTGTTTATAATAATAATATTAATAATATTCTGCGCCGAGGAAATGAAATATATTTCATTAATTGTTTTGCTGAGGTGGACAGGTTCATAGGTTTGATTATTGTTAGGAATTGTTTAATAATACTTGAAGAATAATTCTAGATTGTATAAAGATGTAGAATAAAATATGGAAAAGAACTGCAACAGAGTCAAGAAGGTACGAAATAAAACCTTCTTGCTTTCATTCCAATATCCTCTGAATTAACAAATGCTCTTTAAACAGTATTAAACAATCCCCAAAAACAATTACATCCGTAAAATCTTCTATCTGATCGAAAAAAAATTCATAAAATGTGTCTGTTTCGCCGCGCTGAATGAGGAAGCCCTCAGAACCATATTATATTTAAAATGATGTACAGTGCATTAAATATGTAGTCTAATAAAAAGGTAATTTATTTGCTTATTATAATATCTTCGAATGTATGCACTTGTTTGTGCAAAACGGTTTTCCCATATATTTCCGTGGCAATGTCGAACAGCGTAACTGTTAATTCAATGAATCTGTTAAGAGAAATAAATGGACTATTGGCAGCGCTCTGAGTTCAGTGTTCAGTGCACCACTCAATAAAAATATAATAATACTATGTTTGTATTAAAATGACACGAAGTTTAACGAATTGTTTGTGAAAAATCACCGTAAATAGATGAAAAACCGTGTACAGTTATAGCGTACAATTTAGAAGACACACTCTTTGCCAGCAATGTGGGTAGAATCAAGTTAGAAAAAGAAAAACACTCTTAGAGAAACACTCTTCTTGCCGATTCGTGCGATGATACCAAAATATGAAGCAAATGCATTATGCATGTAGTACTGCAGTGGTATTGTGCATGCATGAAGAATGAAAAACTATTAATAAAGTAATTATTAGAAATTAAGTAACTAATCAGTGTTTAAAAAGATGTACTGTGTTGTGTATATAAATGATTTTAGTAAAAAGGAATATGTAAATCCACATTACTGCTCGATGGAAACCGCGAGAAGGTGGTAGTTTCTTCCATCAGGAGGAAATGATAAACAGATGTCGAATAAGTCACTTATGAAATAGGATTATTTGACATTGGTTTATATTTATATTTCCAAAGGAATGATAGGATGTAAGGAAAGGAAGAAGCAAACATAAGGGGAATAGTAATGTCATGCAAGCGTCATGCAGACAAAACATACAAACAAAGAAGAAAATACGATATTAAAATACGCAAAAGATATTATAGCTATTGTATTTATAGTTGCTATAATGCATGCATTTGCACAATGTTTTTATGGAAAGTCTTTCACACAGTAGAAAGATTTAACGCGTAAATCTGCCTTTCTTTGCCAACATCAGTGACATATCATCTATTTTAAAATTTTAGAATGTACAATCATGTAAATACTATATAACACATGGTGTTATATTAGCATTTACATAATTGAGAGTGATATTCTAACATAAATGGTATGTAAATGATACTTGTGGTTTATTGTGTTAACTCACACAAATGGGATGTGTAAATAATAACAAAACCCAAAACTATACATAGAATGGGAGAACGTAATCTTCACAGACAAACTTCGGTGAATACGTATCAGGATATTTTAAAGGGTTAGTCCAGATGACGTTGTTCTGCGTCATTTATTCCCAGTTCAGTCTTCTAGTACAACCTCACGCGAAGCAGCGCTCACGTTTTAACAGAATGCATCTTATACACGAAAATATCTCTATTGTTTTTGGAACTCGTACAGTTATACTGAGAAATCGCACATAGTATTCCGGAGATATTTTCGGTTTCGAGATGTATCGGAGATACATTCAGTTAAAACGTGAGTGCTGCTTCGCGTGAGGTTGCACTAGAAGACTAAACTGGGAATAAATGACGCAGAACAGCATCGTCTGGACAAACCCTTTAAAATATCCTCATACGTATTCACCAACGTTTTTCTGTAAAGATTTCGTTCTCCCATTCCATGTATAGTTTTGGATTTTGTTATTATTTACACATCTCATTTGTGCGAATTAACACAATAAACCACAAGTATCATTTACATACCATTTATGTTAGAATCTCTCTCTATTATGTAAATGCTACATAACACCATGTGTTATATAGTATTTACATGATTGAATCTGACATTTTAAAATGGATGATATGTCACTGATACTTAGTATTGGCAGGCAAAAGCAGATTTACGCGTTAAATCTCGCTTCCCACTGTGTGAAAGACTTTTCATAAAAACATTGCAACAGTGCAAATGCATGCATTACTGCAACTGTAAATACAGTAGCTATGTCTTTTGTGTATTTTAATATCGCATTTTCTTCTTTGTTCGTATGTTTTGTCTGCATGACGCTTACATGACATTACTATTCCCTTTATGTTTGCTTCTTCCTTTCCTTACATCCTATTATTCCTTAGGAAATATAAACCAATGTCAAATAATTCCATTTCATAAGTGACTTATTCGACATTTGTTTATCATTTCCTCCTGATGGAAGAAACTACCACCTCCTCGCGGTTTCCATCAAGCAGTAATGTGGATTTACATATTCTTTTTTACTAAAACCATTTATATACACGTGTTACGTCTTGCAGATTTAATTAGTAAAAATTCTTTCCTCTCGCGGATTTATATTCTCCTAATATAAGTATAATAGGAATATATACATATATAAATATAAATTAGGAAACAGACCCATCTGGCGAACAGCCGTCGTCCCAAATGAAAGGCGATTCGGGAAAATTCCATAACAGGAAACAGTGCCCTGTTGTAAAAATCTACGTCTTCGTTTAAAGTTTATATCTGGGTAGTGTTCGCCAAGTGTGTCCGTCGTCCTAGCTATAAAAATTTGAAACTCCGCGCTAACAAACCTTCAGTAAAACAAAGCAACACAGAGCATTCCTGCTCTAAAACTTGAAACTTACATCTTCCCAATCCAAAACCATATGTGCCCTATCAGTCAACCAACAAAGCTTATTTCACTGACAGTCGTAAAATCTGATCTCAGCCTTTGATTTACGGCATTTTTATTTTTCCAGCCGGCCACTTGTATACATTTCTCTATCTCAAGAATCCACCACCTCCACGCTTGTCGCGCCTAATTCATTCAGCCAATCATATCATATCCACCTAAAACTATGAGACACCCACGCTCCACCCTTTAGCCCTTCCATATTCATATCTCCAAAAACTAACTGTCTCCTCCCACGATGTCTTTTAACTTCGCTAATGGCTGAGACTTTTTCTCACTAAGACTAATTCACCCCTTCCTCAAAGGCCATCTCTCTACCCACCCTGATAGCTTCTG